ACATGGTGAAATCCCATCTCTACTAAAAAAAAATAAAAATAAAAATAAAAATAAAAATAAATTAGCTGGGTGTGGTGGTGTGCCCCTGTAATCCCAGCTACTCAGGAGGCTGAGGCAGGGAAATTGCTTGAACCAGGGAGGTGGAGGCTGCATTGAGCTGAGATCACACCACTGCACTCCAGCCTGGGTAACGGAGAAAGGCTCCATCTCAAAAAAAAAAAGCAGTTCACCTTCCAACTCAAATGATGGCATTAGTGCTTTTCCTTGAGACAGCCATTGTACTTCAGTGTGCAGCAAAAGTGCTTTATGTGCACTTTCCATTTTGTCACACAAAATATGAAAAAGATGTATACTCAGGAGCTGACATTTAATAACATTAATAATTGTTAACACTTCACCAAGGACATGTTTAAGTGAAACTGACATTTTCTTTTTACTGTGTAGCAGTAAGAAAATACACCGACTACTAGTATAGTTTGGTCCCATTACCTCGATTCATGCTAAGGTACCAGCAGTTTTACTCATCATTGCTTTTGCACTACTGTCACAAATGTCAAATGATGAAAAAGGCAAATAACATCTTTCTCTTATTATGGAAATACTTTTGACCTCAACGACCCTCAGAAAAGTCCCTGAGAATCCCCAGGGGTCTGTGGACCGTGTTTTGAGGACCACTGCTCTTAAACTTCTGCAAAGGGCCAGGCCTCCCAGCATGCAGTATGTAGCTACTAGCACATTTGGGAGGAGAGGTGAGGTCTCCTTCAAACAGGGCAATTTGCCTTCCTTTTTGGAGCCTGAGATGGACTTTTTGTTTCCTTGCAGAACTGAAGGCATCTGGCTTGGGAGCACGATTATTCTCCACTCACCTTTAAACTGCCTCAGCTATTACTAAGTCTCTGGCAGTGATATGTTGATTATGTGAATTTAAAGCCCACAGGAGCCAGAGGAATGACAGATCAGATTCTCTTAAATGAGAAATAAAATCCAGGAGCCTGGCAGCGGGACATACGGCTCTCGCTCCTGCTGACCTTTGATGTCACTCTGGTAGAATGACTGCTTCTAGGCCAGATGGCATGTAGCTTAAACGGAGATGTCTCAACCTGTTTCCTAGTATTAACTGTGCACATTGATACTCCTCCATTGTGTAGTCCATAATTCTTCATTGTCAACCTCGTTTAGATTTTTTTTTTTGAGGGGAAGCTGAACTCAAGCAGGCCTCCATAAATTCAAGCTATTTCAAAAGCTCCAATTTCATTTAAGTCTCCAAACCCAAACCTTTTCCTATCCAATCACTGTTATAGACGGACAGACACTGAATCTCCCTTCTGTGAATTGAATGTGTGTCTAGCAACTTTTAAGAGCAATGAGATTGAAGGAAAGAGTGAGTCTCCTTGCCCTAAAGGAGGTGGCTGAATGGAAGCCCATTTAATTTTTTGTTTGAAGGTACTAAATAAGGATCAATTTGTAAAGACAGCTTTCTGAGTGTAGCAAGATAGCTTCTTAAATCTGATAGGGATAAATGGGAGGTCAATACCCTTTTTCTTATCAACAATTTCACCAAATAATATTTACTAAGAACTTTCATGTCAGGTGTCTCAGCTATAAATAAGGAAATACTCCAAGCAGAGATATTGGAAGTGCTGAACCAGGCCAGTTGCTGGGTATGGAGCTAGAAGCTAACATCGCTTGTCTATGGTAAAGCATGCTTTCATTACTCAAAAGCAGAACTTTTAATTTATTTCTAAATTAATTTGAAGCAGACCCAATGAGCAACAAATGCAAATGTACTCAACCGGGAAAAGCAGCTGACTTTTTTCATTCAGGGTCATGGGTAAGGACAGAATTCTGTCACATGAAAAATGTCTCAGTTTTGACAAAAGAATTAACACTGCTTCAAGGAAAGAGAAAATAAGTTATGGACATTATATCTGACAGATTTTTCCCTTCATATTCATGGCATTTGAATTATATGCACATCACTAAAGCAATATTGAACCCTCATGAAGAGCCTGGCAAGTGAGTAATTGTAATTTTAAAAGAGGAACATTCACATATGTTTTAATGTTGTTTTAGTTTTTACTCAGAATTCTGGTTCACTGTTTATAATAGGGCAGAACATCCATGCTTTTGTAAGAACCACTTTGGCTTATAAAAAAATACAGTACCGGTCAGGCATGGTGACTCACGCCTGTAATCCCAGCACTTTGGGAGGCCGAGGTGGGCAGATCACCTGAGGTTGGGAATTCGAGACCAGCCTGACCAACCAACACGGAGAAACCCCATCTCTACTAAAAATACAAAATTAGCTGGGCATGGTGGCGCATGCCTGTAATCCCAGCTACTCGGGAGGCTGAGGCAGAAGAATTGCTTGAACCCGGGAGGTGGAGGTTGCAGTGAGCCGAGATGACGCCATTGCACTCCAGCCTGGGCAACAAGAGTGAAACTGCATCTCCAAAGGAAAACAAACAAACAAACAAACAAAACAGTACCACTTTAAAAGTTTCTAAGCCAACAGAATTTCAAATGATCTAAAATTTAAATCAACATGTAATAGGATGCCTGGTTTGAGGGAAAAACATGCGTTGGCCTTAGTGTTTAGATAGGTTAGGCATGTTTGGAGACTCCATGACAGGAACCCATAAGGAATTTATTTGCATAAGGGATGAAGTTGCTTCCTGTGAATGAATGAACCCCGAGAGAGAGTAGCACTGCTGGGATACTGAGAAGGTCAAGAACTAGGGGACAGTATCAGAGGCAAGTGGCACTGTTCATTTAAATTTAAACTAGGCACCATGAGCTTATAACCCGAGTCCTTGGTAGAGGAGCAATATCTAAGAGCAAGTGAAGGAATGAGTTCAGAATAATCTAAGACACTGGGGAGAATAAGCCTGAAGTGTTTTGTAGGCCATGTAATAGAGTGAAATGAAAGGGAGCACAGAAGTCCATTTATCTTCTTGGACTCAGTGGCACCTTCAGTGAGTATTGTGTCTTTGCTGGGGCAGTTGTGACTTTGCATACTGGTGGACACTGGTGCCTTTGGTGGTTATTGGGACATTGTTGCGTTTTCACCATTAGTGTAGTCAAGAATCAACGACCTGGCCGGGCGCAGTGGCTCACGCCTGCAATCTCACCACTTTGAGAGGCCGAGGTGGGTGGATCACTGGAGGTCAGGAGTTTGAGACCAGCCTGGCCAACATGGCGAAATCCCGTCTCTACTAAAAATATAAAAATTAGCCAGGTGTGGTGGCACATGCCTATAGTCCCATCTACTTGAGAGGAAAAAAAAAGAAAAAAAAAAGAATCAACAACCCAACAAACCAGAGTCAGAGAAAAGGAAAATGATCACTGCTATGTAGTAACTGAGTACTGAAACCAACATAATTCTCCATCACTGCGTAAAACAATAACGGACATGGGAATCGCTTTCTGTTCCCATATTAATCCATTTTGAGAATAAGCAAATGTAGGTACTTGCTCCAGGAAATACATTTTCCTGAAAAATAAAATCGTAAACCAACTCAAAGAGTTTACTTAACAAGAATACCACCTTCCCTATCAAAACTTGCTTCAATATTCTCCTCCTGCTGTGCCCACCAATCTACAGCTATTATGTCACAAAATCTACCCAATCCCAATTACAGGCCTGCCTTGAAAGACCTGCCCTGAAATCACCGAGCTTAGTCCCTAATAACCTACCCCGTCATTTCCCCTCTGAGACATTGCCTAGACACTGTTAAGGCAGAGCTCTCTCATACTGCAGTAAGTCTCATAAGATACTTCACTTCGATTGGTCAGTGATGTTTTTCTATTATTTTAGGGGAGGGCAGGGAGCAGCGGTTGACAGCCAACCAAGCTAAAAGGGTGAATGTCTGCACATTCAGGAGAACAGAGGTGCCACAACTATGGGTGGAAATATGGTGTGTTGCTATTTTTGTGATCCAGTTTGTACTTAGAGGCAAGGTAGGACGTGAGGAAATGTGGGCTAAATACCGATAACCCTTTTTAAAATTAAGCAAGAACAGCAAATGTCTAAAAAATGTCTAGCCCAGTGAAGTTACCATCTATTCACTACTTTTTTTTTTTTTTTTTTTTTTTTGAGACAGAGTCTCACTCTGTTGCCCAGGCTGGAGTGCAGTGACGCGATCTCAGTTCACTGCAACCTCTGCCTCCCAGGCTCAAGCGACTGTCCTGCCTCCTGAGTAGCTGGGATTACAGGCATGTGCCACCATGCTTGGCTAATTCTTGTATTTTTAGTGGAGATGGGTTTTCACCATGTTGGCCAGGCTGGTCTGGAACTCCCGGCCTCAAACAATCTGCCCGCCTTGGCCTCCCAAAGTGCTGGGATTACAGGAGTGAGCCAAGGTGCCCGACCCTATTCACTACTTCTTACATGATTTTTCCTTGACGAGATAAATGTAATGCTGCCTTCTTCCAGACAAAGGTGATTTTTAAACTTACTGTACCGTGAAATCACAAAATCTTAAAGGTGTATTTTGTATGTATGTACATATACATACACACACATACAGACATATCCTATCTTATTCCAATGAGGGATTTAAGGCAGTTCACAAAAATGCAATAGTATAAAAATAAGTCAGTCCTAGAAGGCAAAGCTCTGCAGGGCCTGCTGGGCACACCCATCAGTTTCTGTTTCCACAAGGACCCCTTTCTCTTTGAATACTAAAGAGTAGCATTAGCAACCTCAACACTGAAGCTTTTGCTTTCTCTGCCCAAACTCCCTCACTAGAGTAGTGGGACAGGGTGGGTGAGAAGAGAAGGAAGCCCTTAAAGGTCAAAGCAGTGGAGGGTTGGGGTGGGATCGGATCGCACTTTCACCTCCTGGGCTTGGGAAGATGGTGCACATGCGTTGTAATGCGCACGTGTTACTGGCACATGACTCCCGGTCCCTTGTGAGCCAAAACTTGGATCCTAATGACGCTGATAATGGGTTACTAGGCACTCATAGTTCTGGATTGTTGCGTGGCCTTGATGTTAGCAGAAGAATTCCTTTAAAAGTCATTTTTGAAGAAGTAGACAAACCTAAATCTGTGTCTCATCTCCAAGGAATATGAACAAGATGCCTGCTGGTGAACAAGAACGTGAATATAATGAAGACAGGAAGTACTACTCTAAAGGAGTTAAACTGGTGAGAAAAAAGAAAAAAATTCCTGGTTACTCTTGGGGGGACATTAAGATAAACATCATAGGTGAAAAGGATGATTCACCAATTCATTTCTGTGACAAATGTGATTTGCCTATTAAAATCTATGGGCGAATAATTCCATGCAAGCATGCTTTTTGCTATAACTGTGCTAATTTATATGACAAAATCGGATATAAAATATGTCCACGCTGTAGTTATCCTGTGCTGCGAATTGAGGAGCATAAACGAGGTTCTGTCTTCATGTGTAGTGTTGTTCAGGGATGCAAGAGAACATATTTGTCTCAGAAAAGCTTACAGGCTCATATCAAACGCCGCCATAAAAGAGCTCGAAAACAAGTTACCAGCGCTTCGCTTGAAAAAGTTCGTCCTCATATTGCTCCGCCACGAACTGAAATCGCTGAAATCCCTAAAAGACTGCTAGACAGGGACCATCTAAACTATATTCCACCAGAGCAGCACACCATGATGTCACTACCGTCTATGCAACAAATGCCACACGAGCAACATAATCAGCCACATAAGGATCTTCAGGTTCCTCCCCCAGAACTATCTCCAAGTCCGCCTTTTCCCATCCAGTGGGAAACCGTTAGTGTTTTTACAAGAAAACACGGCAATTTAATAGTTGATCATATTCAGAATAACTCAGATTCTGGTGCTAAGAAGCCATCACCTCCTGACTATTATCCTGAGTATCAAAGTCAACCAGTGGTATCGTCCCCTTGTCATATTATGCCTCAAGAACAGCATTATGCACCACCTCCATCTCCATCATCACCAGTAAACTACCCAATGCCATATCCTCCTCAGGATGTAGGTACTCCTAACTTGGTTTCTAGCCAAGCGCCAGCTCTAACCACGACCTATGATCTATCACTTGGATATATTATTGCCCAGGTGCCACCTTATATGAATTCTCCTCCACCATGTGCTCCCCAGTCTCAAAATGGCAATTCATCTGCAAGTGAATTTGCTTTTCACCACTATAACCCTAACTTTTTACCTCAGTTCACTGAAAATCAAGAAACCTTGAGCCCTCAGTTTACACAAACAGATGCAACGGATCACAGAAGATGGCCTGCATGGAAAGGGCTGCCATCTCCTCCACCAACATGGAGTCCACCTCCTTCAACCCTACATGGTGGATCACATCATTCATACCAGAGAAGACATAGACCATGTTAAGCATGATAATAGTATTTTGAACTGAAGACCTGATGGGGAAAAAAACTTCAACTTCTATACTGTACTGTGGATAAGTGGCTCAGTTCAGCACAGCTAGCTGTAGTTTAACAACTTTGTTCCTCTGGTGTGGTAAATTGACCTAAAGGTGACCTCTGATGATTTCCTGAAATAAATATGCATTGTTACATTTTCAAAAGTATTGTGGTTTTTATTTTTATTTTTTTGGTGATATGTTAACCTGTGAAAAAGGATTAAATTTCAATCTAGTTGTAAAAATGCTATTTTATGTGAACTCAAGTATAGTCACATGCTGTTTTTTAAACATGTTTTACCACTAATTTCCCAAAGTACAGTAAAAATCCTAGAAGTAAAAATCTACTACGATGTACAGTTAAATCAGACAGCTAAATGGTAGATAATTATTTCACGTTTTAGGAACTGAAATTTTAAGGTATAATAAGTGTATAGTGCATTTCATTTGGATGCCTTTTCATTTTTAGGCAGCCCCAGAAGCACCAAAATATATCAGAATTCCAGTACTATGATAGATTTATGTTTGCAATGTTTAAAAGCATTACTAAATCATTTGGAAAGATATGACCAAAGTAATTGTATCTGTAGGCTCCAAGCTGGTGGGGACAATGTTACTTGTTAATGTTTTTTTTTTTTTTTTTTTTTTAACAGAATCGTTCAAATCACATAATGCACCACACTTACTAAGTAGCATTATTTTATAGCACTGTTTAAATGGTGTCATTTAGATGAAGTGTGTTCTACTTTGCTCATGCTCCTAAATTAAATATTCAGGGCTGAATAAACTTTATTATAATTCTTCGTTTCATGGTAGAACTTGATCCTGTTCTTATGTGGTTTTTTTGTTTATTAGGTTTTAAACTACAGTTTGAATGCCATAGAGGAATTTGGATAATCTATTAATGAGAGGCATTGCTACAGTTACAAACTTGGACTTGCTTGGGTTTCATTATTGCATGATAAGGGTTCTTCCTCTAACCTGAAATTAAAAACTATTAATTCTTTCCTATTTCTTTTCTTGGTAAACAGCCTAAACTTGGGACATTTTAGCATGAAGTTAACAGTAAAGACTACCAGATGACTTTGTATAGGAGAAAAGTAATGACTTATATGAATTTCACTGCTTTATTGTATTTAGAATGAGCTTTTGCATTTTAGGGGCTTATTACAGTCCAGCTATGATGACCACTTCCACTTCTGTACTTTGTACAGAATTCATATGGATGAACTGATGTTCTTAGGATATTTCATATCATTTGAATAAACCCTCATGAAGATTTTTCTCCCCCTTCAACAGTACATAATATAAATATGAAATGTATAGTATGCAGATATTATTTACTAGATGGTTTATAGTGTATAAATTTAGGAGATATTTCTTTTTGGCAAAGGATGAACTGATGGCTAACTTATCATTTTACTCTGTTGGGTACAGGCAAAATAAATTCTTGTCTTGGCTGATCAGATGCTCTCTGAGCTTAGAGCTGAAGTTAGAAATATATAAATGGCCATTTTAACCTTGACCAGCCTAAAATAAGTAATAGACTGTTTTTTTAAGTGAGTGATTTTTCATACTTAGCAATTTGAGAGTCTAATGTTAATGCAGTATTTCTAGTGAAAAAGCCTTGTTATTAGGAGCACGGCATGTGATGATGTGAAATGTTGGTTAGTAAGTGCTTCTATTATACTATTACAGGTACTTGGACTGGTACACACTTGATTTCCTTTCTTGCCTCTACTTAGAAGCTGTTAAAATATTACTGTTAAAATCCAATATAATTTTTTGTTTCATGTAATAAAAGCCAAATTCACTTTAAGTCTTCTCAACTATCTATGAAGAGCTCTTCTATGTTTATTGACATTCTCTAGGATTGAAGGTACTATGAAACCACTTACATGATGCATTAGACAAAAAAAATCAGTATTATAAAATTTTACATGTTAAAAGAAGCCTTTAAAATTATTTATTTGCAGTTAAGTTTAGGCAATATGTTATTTAGCAAAGCAGAACAGATGAATGTGTTGTAGCAGACAAAATTTTTAAATGATATTGGTTATGACTGAATGACAGTGTTGGGTAAAAGAATCACAAAGTTACCATTAGTGTTTCTTTAAGGGAAAAATAATGCGAATCCTTTCCTTTTACTCAGAGAAGGCTTTGAAGCTATAATGGGCATAAGTCTAAATTAAATGTATGTATGGTACATTATAGTACTCTGAAGACCACTGAGGTGGCAGTTTAAGTCTTAAAAACAATATGGATCCATAAATACTAAAACATAAACAGAAATACCAGAGAAAGGGAAAATGAAAGTCAGATAAATAGTAAAATTAAGTCCAAGTTAAAGCTGGAAGCAAAAAATTTGCACAATTAATTCCTGCACTGTTGTTAATGATGGATGAAAAGTGGTTACACAGGCAAGATAAAAGCATGCACATTTTCACGGGAAGCATAAGCCTGATACTGAGCAAAAGTTCTCTTGTGGTGCTCATAAAATAGTCATTAATATAGGGTTGTGATTCCTGATTCTGACAGCATGAAAGAATCTCCTGGAGCATCACCGCAAATTAGCATCCTTTACTTATCCTCAAAAGATTCTGAATCAGTAGGTTTTGGCAATGGATAGGGTTTAGTAATCTGTTCTTTCAGTAAGTATCCTAGGTGATTCAGAAGCAGCTGACTCAAAAATTTAGTCACTGAACACCCAGTGTCTAGTCTCAGTGGTCTACCATCCATTCTGTACACAGCAACCACAGTAAATATGTAAGAATGGAAGTTGGTCAGGCACAGTGGCTCACGCCTGTAATTCCAGCACTTCGGCAGGCTGAGGCAGGTGGATCAGGAGGTCAGGAGTTTGAGACCAGCCTGGCCAACATGGTGAAGCCCTGTCTCTACTAAAAATACAAAAAATTAGCCGGGCTTGGTGGCAGGTGCCTGTAATCTCAGCTACTTGGGAGGCTGAGGCGGGAGAATCACTCGAACCCTGGAGGTGGAGGAGCCAAGATCGCGCCACTGCACTCCAACCTGGGCAACATAGTGAGATTCCATCTCCAAAAAAAAAAAAAAAAAAAAAAAAAGAATGGAACCCAGCTCTCAAATAGTTTTACATTGCACTTCAAGTCCAATACCTTTTTCTTGACTGTATACAGTTAAACTCCTAGTGAATTTTCAAAACTCATAACCTACCCTTCTCTATCCATTCCCTCTATTCCAGTCATACAAACTTAAAAAAAAAAAAAATCCTTGGGCAACCGAATTCCTTCCTGCCTCACATTTTACACTTATTGCTTTCCCCCGCCCCGCCCCGCCTGGACCATCTTCCTACAAGTCTGCTTAAGGCTGGCTCTGTCACTTCATGTTTCTGTTCAAATGCCTTCCTTGGCTGCCCTGTGGGAAATAGCACTGCCCTCCTCACACCCATCTCCTAACCCTGCTTTATTTTCCTTCATTCTCTATCACTACCTGTTATTACATAATTACTTATTGCTTCTTTTTGTTGTTTCCCCCACAAAAGTGTTATCTCCAAGAGAGATGGGTCTTTGTACTAGTCCATCAAAGAAGGATGAAGAGTGATATATAATAAAGCAATTTAATTTTTTGTTCTTGCTGTTTTCTTCTTTTTATATTTTATTCTTTCTGAAGTGAAAATTGGGGCCATCTCATAACTTTTCTCTACACTCTTAGATAAATGGAAAGCTCTCTGATCCGTTATTAAAATGTCCAGTCTGATGGGACAGTCAAACTTTAGAACTGATTTAAGGGTAAGTCCTTTCCTTACTTCCCTAGCTGTGGCTCATGGAAGACGAGCAGTTAGGAAGAATGTTGTGGTCAACTTCTTGCCTTAACCACCTTTGCTTTGATTTCTTCTCCCTATTTCATTAGGTGGAGGTCTTGGTCCTTCAGAGTTGGAATGCAAAGGACTGGGGCAGGAGAGGTGAGGGAAATAGGAAAAGTCTTAACTTGGTTGGTACTATATGAAACTGGGTTAGTAATTTCTGGGCCCAACTTCAGGTTTTAAGAATTAATTTTTTCTTTCATTGACACTTCCATGGTTGATAAGAAAGAATTGCTGTCATTGATCCGGATCTCTACTTGTAGTTCCCTTGATGAATATGAATGCATCTCTCTTCCAGTTAGTTCCCTAGTTCTTCCTCAGCCCCTGAGAATCTAGCAATACCTACAGCTTCTCTTAGCTGAGTTGTGTTTATCCCTCCAGCTCCCTCTAGTGAGGGGCCATATCTGGCCCCTGAGAAACACATCTCCTTTTCCCTGATAAACTCTGGGTGTGCTGGCCAATGTCAATGTTGCCAGCTTCCTTTCCCTCACCTGTCAAAGAAATTAGCCTGTCTCCTGCACCTTTGATTTTCCAGACACCAGTCCACAGTGTCCCTAATGTTCCAGAGAATACATATTTAGCCCTTGGAGTGGTCTCATTAAAGCACCTCTCTCCTGGGAGGTGATGTGGGAGGCATCCTTCATCTCTTTTCTAAGAGGAATGGTGGTGGTAGAACTCACAGCATAGCAAAATTTAGAGTCAGGCTGTTTTCTTATTGGCCGGTGCCCACACCATACTGTTTGTTAAATAATTTTATTATTACTCTAGATCCAACTATGCTTTATTTTCAAATGGCTCAGAAACCCCAGATGGGAAAATGCAATCTGTTTGAATTGCATCTACAAAAACAAAGGAAGGAGGAGTGCATGATTAAATGGATAATTCAGAAAAAAATGCCTCAGGTATTGAAATGTTCTTGGCAAAATTTTAGTATCTGAATCATTCTAAAAAGTGTCAGAATTTGGCACATCTCCTAACGGTTCCAATAACATTATGCTGAGTAAAATTATACATTTTTTTCTTTGACAAAATAGTCAATAGATATATTTCATTTCCAATAGAAAGAACTAAGTCATTTTTAAAGTATCTTTCAAGGTCAGCCCTAGGTAAAAATGTGGTATAGATGGAGTTCTATTTTGATGGGATAAAGCAGAGGTATAAAACTTTTTCCCTCTACTGAATAAAACTAGCATTTTTCATCACATATCATCACACAATAAGAAACAGATGGTCTGCTTATTTTACTGACCATCACTCGTTTGTGTTTAAACTTTTTTCCTAATATTTGACTTGGGTATTCTGTTTGGTTTATGCATATGGCAGACTG